ATGGCAGATGCATTAGTGGAAGAATGGGATCGTATTCCAATGGAAACGATAAGCAACTTAAATTTCCAGTATGCCTCGTAGATTAGAAGTTCTTAGAGTTGCTAGAGGAGGCAATACACGGTATTAAGCAGTCATCCCAATGTATAATTTTGTGGGTCGAAACAGTACTGGCTCGCTCCTGCTGACAATTGGGGCAACTCTGTCCATCCTAGATCTCTTAGTTATGAGATCTAGCAATATAATTTTGTGTTTATTAAAAATGTTTTTTGAATTTACTGATGGTATTAGTTCATTTCATTAGAAAATTGTTTCTTGATAAATTCAGAAAGTTGGAAATTTGCAAGGATTCAGCAAAAAAAGCTGTAATTCGGAAAATTTTAGAGATAAATCAATGGATAAATAAACAAAATGCTCGCAAAAGAAGCCTCTTTTGTATAGGGTGTGAGCACTTTCTATGCCATTACTCAATTAACACATAGGGTGAGGCGAAAATTAAGAATAAATCATGGTTCGAGTTATTCCACCACCATCAAGGAGGCTTTGAAAAAAATTCCACCTCTTTATTTTTTTCAAAGACAAATGCATTACCTATCAACAAATAAAAAAAAATCGACCTACTATTTTTTTTTGGTGGGGATGGGTCAAATATCAAGTGCGCCACTTTTTTTTGGAACTGAGTGTACTTTGGTCATCTCGAACATTTTTCAACTCGGCTGCGCCTCGTTAAAAGCAACAGTTCTCGATCACTGAAGTAGCATTTCGTGCACTAGATACAAAAGTAACTATTCTAGGTTCATTCCTGAAATAAATGGTCTCGTCAGTTATATGGCTCTGATTCAGTACCTCATAAGTATATTAGCCATTTGTGTCGCCCTGTTTCAAATAGCAAAGGTGAGAAATCAAAGATTTTATATTTACATAACATGGGGAATACTCGGAAAAAATATGTTGTACAGGGTGTAACATGAGTACGTGGAAATATTTGAGTGAGGTATTCCTGAGACAATTTCAAGAAAAAAAGTTCATATGAACTTGTATCCGGAAATGCTGTGTTTCGGAGATACAGGGTGTTGAAATTGAGCAGAGTGGTTTAATATTGTAGTACCACTCTGTAGCGTATAGACGTAAGGGTCTGTATGTGTGACTATAGATGGCAGCGCCATACAGTGTGTGTCGTGGTCTCTTGATCCTAACTTAGAGCTTTGCCACTAGATGGCTTCAACATGACTAGAACTTCATGTCTTCGGAATGGGTGATATACCCGAAGCGTAGAGTTGTCCCAGTTGTCAACAGACAGAGAGAGCGACTGATGAGACCTGGTGAGTCGAAACAGTACTGTCCCGCTCCTGCTGACAAATGAGGCAACTCTGTTCGTCCTGGATCTCTTAGTTATGAGATCTAGCAGTTGAAATTGAATGTTTTTGTTCGCTTTTGAAAAATAACTTTTGCAAAACATAAGTTATTTGCACGAAATTTGGTACCCAGTGTTTTTTGACGTGGGAAATCATAATTTCATATTAATTTTCATGTAACATCTAGAGGGCGCTGTGTACGCTGTCATTACTTATTTCAAATTGCCGTTACATTTTTGACAGTAAACTGTTGATACATTTTATGAGAAAATTGTATACCAACACCTTTTCCAAATAAAAAAGGTAGCTTCTAGGGCGCTAAGTAAAGTTGCTGATAACATTATAAAAATTGAGTGTGTGATAGGTTTGGTCAAAATAAACAACTTTTTTCCTCAGAAGCAGGGACGCGCCTATACAGTGGCAACTGCGTGCACCGCACACGGGCGGCCAACCTCAGGGGCGGCCAATCACGAGATACTAAATAATACTTCGTTATTTTGAACATTATATTACTCTGTAGACTATGGGAATCCTTGTAATAAAATTTCAATCCCATTCAGTAAATTAACATGCAACACTTAATAGAAGAAAAAATAAGAACAAACAACCTTTCTTACGCTGGTGGCCCACAGGAGTCAGGACGATAGCGGCACGATTTTTCGCGATATACTACCATCGCTTCGCATTAGCATAAACTACAGAAGATAAACTATTTCAGTAATCTTTGGCATTAGCTGAGTAATGAAAGAATTGAATTTTTTAGCCATTGGACTACATTCAATTGTATGAAAATTTTGTCTGTGCGATATCGCGTACGAAAATCTTTTCGGCATCAGACTAAGAACATTTTCAATGCACTTGTGGAAGTATCTCAAGATGATAGTTTCGATTTGTCGGCTAAACACAAAGTATTCTCAATGGCTAGCAAAATCAATGAATTTCGATTCATCTCTTCCATACTGATATGGCATCATGAAATTTTGTTAAAAATCAACATCTGTAGGAAATTCTTTTCATGTTCTACACTCAATATTGAAGCATGTCTTGATCAATTGAATAATTTGAGATTTTTATTGCTGCATTCAGATCCGATGGAAACTATTCAAAAATTTTGAAAAAATTCTCGGACAATAGCTGATAATTCAGATTCTGAAACATACTTTCCAGAAACGTCTAGAAGGAGAGAGAGAGACCAAAATTGTTTGATTATGCACGAGGGAAATGATGATTATCAGACTGACTACCAACAGCACGCAAATTCAAGATATTTTTTTTATGCCATCACCGACCAAATAACATGTTCTCTCGATGAGAGATTCGAGTCTCTCAAAGATTATAATTAATGTTCTGGATTTCTCTAGTTAGCTTTTGGTTAGGACTTTGATGAAACAAGTTAACTCGAAAGTTATGAAAATTTGCAAGAAAAGTTAACAGATGAAAATCACAAGGAAGACGATATAGACGGGACAGATTTATTCAATCAGTTAAAATCATTGAAAGTGATTTATCATGAAAAATAGAAAATCATCCACAACAGATTTCACAGTATAAACATTTTATTAACTTTACCGGTGTCAGTTGCTAATGGAGAAAGGTCATTTTCTAAGTTGGAGATAATAAAAAACTATTTGAGGTCTAAAATGAGCCAGGACCTTGCTTCAATATCCTTCGAATCTGAATTATTAGAAACCATCGATGTTGACATGCTCATCGAAGAATTTCCTCAGCAGAAAGCGAGAAAAATGATATTTTCTCTATGATTTTCACTGTGATATTATTGCCCCTCCATGTGTTTTTCTCAAAGTATTACCTGAACCTCATATGTTAATGAAATATTGTTAATTTCATATGAATTCTTCAATTCGTATATTATTTGTTATGTTACTTATGTTTATTTATATTATGTTATGTACCGTGAATGCAATCATCTCTTGAGACATCTTGAAACGAGTTTGATATATTATTTGTTTCTTTTCAGTTTCCAAAATATGTCAGTTTTCAAAATTCGTTTCATTTGAATTTTTTTCGAGGGCGGTCCAGAACATATTGCACACGGGCGGCGAAGTGTCTAGGCAGAAGTCTGTGTTCAAAGTTTGATGAAAATATCTGCAGTTGCAAATAACTTATGACGAGAACCAACCTTGTTTTGAAAAAATTCACCTATCAGTATCTCGAATACAAATTATTTCAATTCAATTTCCTCGTCACACTCTTGTCTGTGACAAGGAAAAAGTTTGAAATTTTATCACCAGTTCATATATAGACATTTTCTCTCAAAATTTCCTCAGGAATACGTCACTTGAATATTTGAACTTACTTATGTTACACCCTGTATATAACATTGTTGAAGGAATTCGTTCAGTCATTCAAATCACACTCAAATAAATTGTATTTCAGAATCCATTGACTTCATCCACTGTTTTCGGCAATATTACCTTCCTGTTGTGCATGATCATAGAAATCATACTGTATTGTTGGTATGGGGAAGCCATTAAAGATAAGGTAACGTAATTATTCACCTTTCTCGAAGAGTAATCCACATATTAGTATGGAATTTTTAAAATTATCTTTATATAAGTTTTCGAATATTTTGACGTTTTTCAAGAGTATATTCATCTCTTAATAATTTTATATTTTTCAGAACGATGATCTCAGCAGAACATTATATTTGACCAATTGGTACGAATCTCCTGTGAAAATCAGAAAAATGATCCTGATCATGGGAGAGAGATGCAAAAAATCCATAAGGCTTGAAGTAGGAGGTTTCACCAACATGTCTCTTAGCTCTTTTCTAAATGTGGGTTTTTCCTAAAGTTTCTCTTCGAAAACCGTTTCCTTTATACTATTCTTTTCTCATCTGAAATGATATCGAATCGTATCGAAATTATTTTCAGCACTTGATAAAATATAGAGATTGTTAATTCCTCAAAATATTTTGGGATTTTGTCTGAACGTGTCTATATATAAAGGAAATTATCAATAATATTTCAAATTACTCGATAAGATTAATCTCAGAGATTAGAATCGAAAGACATTTCCTCAATCCAGGAACATACTGTATATACATATTCTTCAATTTATATTTCTGTGTTTTAGATAATGAGGTCAGCCTACTCTTCCTTCACCGTCTTACGACGAATCAACACATAAAAAACTGAATCTCCTGTACCATATTTTAGGCAACAGCTATAATACCGACATTGTGAGTAATACAGGGTGTTTTATTAATATTGCATTAGGTTAGTACTTGTTTCGCCATGGTTACATCTGATTGATTTGGTAAATGCGCAAATAGATTTCAATTATCACAGTTTGTCTTTCATCTGATTCTCATGCATATAGGTTTGATTTTTGTTTGTTACTTCAAAAACACAGCCAGATAAAAAAAATAGGAGTCAAAAGAATATGTATTTTGAGTTGCTTCAATCAGAAAAATTGCAAAAATTCGACAAAGATCTACTTGGTGATATTTCATGTGCAAAATACTATTGTATTTGGTCTAAAAAATACCTCATTGTGATTTCAACAAACATTGCCAATTTCATCAATTTCGGTTCAGGTACATTTCAGAAATCGATACAAATTTGTACGAACTTTTTCAAGTTTTGTGCAATATTAATGAAATGAAACATCCTGTATAATATATGTCTATTTTTGTAGATATCTATCAATGCACAAAACAACAAATAGTTGTAGAAAACTAATAAAAGTACACAGTAATTTTTGTTCATTGAAATTTGTTGAAAATAATCTTATCGAAATGTCACAAGAAAAGGCCTCAGTAGCGATATCACACCCGGACGAAAACTGAACGATCCAATATTCTTGACCGTCTTCTGTCTCGTCAGCACCATGTACAGTGGCCACTATACCGCTTAATGCAAGCATCCATACTAAGGTTTGTTAATCTGTGTCCATACTCCGGCAATGGCATGAATATGATGACTCCCGAGTTTCTCCAATATTATCGAAATCTCTTGTGAGTGGTGATGAATAAGTATATTTTATGCTCTTTCACGTGCAAGAAGACCAACAATCCTACGATTGAATTTTCGTTATATTTATATTATCAAATTATTATATTTCTAACCTCAGAATTACTATCCAACAAGCTCAGATATAGGTTGCTTGCAAGATGACCGACCCTGGAGGTAAGATATTGAAACACAACCTCACTCTTCTGTGAATTATTGAAACACAACCTCACTCTTCTGTGAATTATTGAAACACAACCTCACTCTTCTGTTTATTATTGAAACACAACCTCACTCTTCTGTGAATTATTGAAACACAACCTCACTCTTCTGTGAATTATTGAACAACCTCACTCTTCTGTGAATTATTGAAACAGAACCTCACTTCCTTCATTTGTTCACAGAGGAATCAAAGGATTGAAATAGTTTTTCACAATATTTTGGCGTACGAATCGTCATTTTTGCGCTATTCATCAATTCAAGCTTGCCTTCTCATAGTGTTGTTATACAATACAGAAAAAAAGCAGTGAGAGACGAAGGAATATGATGTTTCAGGTCAATAGTAATCTCACATAGTTTTCATTATAAAGTTTTGTCATTTCTAATTAAAATTCCTTCTGCCACTTCCGCAATGAAAGCTAACATTGCTAATCGATTGAAAATGTCTACAACACACACGATCATATTTCGTCGGCATGTCAGACCAGTCCTCCCGTTTGATTGCATGAATCCAATATTCTTGCATTCTTTTAGAAATTTCACGAGTATTCCTATTAGCTCCTATTGCAGAAGGAATTCCGATGAGAAATCAGAGATATTACCATATTTCAGAATGAAAACTGTATGTGTAAGTAGGTACTTAATTTTGAATTATAATGTACCAACCGGATTCCTTCGTCTCTTGCTGCATTTTTTGTGCATTGTACAACAGCACAATGTCATTGCATGCGCGAATTAATGAATAGCCGAAAAACACGATTCGTATGCCAAAATAATTATGAAAAACTATTTCAATCATTTGTACACTAAAAAGGTAAGTCAAGTTGTGTTTCAGTTTCAGTTCTTGCACGCAACCCATTAGTATTCGGTCATACGGTATCGATGTAGATTTCGGGAGGATGTAATTCAATGTTCTGCGTGGGATTAGCCAGTCAGGAAAGTAGTTGTTTTTCTCTCATCTACCATTGTTGTACATTTTATGAACATTATTTGTGGAAATGACTGAGCTTTTATGTATTTATATCAACAATGAAATGTTCAGTGTTGAGGTGTGAGAATCAAGGAAATACTTCTGACCCTCAACTCAACTTGGTCATTTTAGTGTCTGTTTCTATAGAATTCCTATTGATATTTCGAACTTTTGTGATATGGAAGTCAATTTCCCAGCTTTGTTTCGTCAAATGAGGTAGCAAACGCTTGTTTTCGACTGTGTGAATAGATCAGCTTCGACTTTTTTGATTTCAGTCACTAATTATGGAATAAACGTTCAACAAGACTATCGTGATGGAGGCAGCACCGGGACTCCGAAAGCTAACGTTCTGATTGACGGTTTGAATATGATCAATATTACTGGTTCGGCTCATAAGGGATCAGAGGCTATGGGCGTTTACATCAATTGTGGAGAGAATTTTTGCACCAATTGGAATTGGGCCGGTATTTCCAAAGATTACTGTCGAAGGAGCTAGAAAAAATAATACTTGTAATTTCTCGCCTATAAGGTATATATGTCGAAGTGTATAAAGATATCAAGATTGTTCCACAACTCACAATAAACACTTATGAATGAGGCTTGTTTTCGTTAATCTCCATTTATATCTAGCAAATTTCGAGTACCTACTTTCATATAAAAGATTCTGATGAATTGAATCTCATATTACTGATTACGTCTCCTGTGAGATTCATTACTCTCAATAAACATTGTGAAAATGGGTACCATCTTGATTTTTGTGTGTCTCTTCTTTATTCCTGATGCTTTAACTAATACAAAAGAATGGACTAACTTCAAAGTAAGTCTACAATCTATTTTACCACGCTTTTATTAGCTTGATGGGTCAGCAGAGGATCCAGCAAGCTTTTTCGGGAGGGGGGGGGGTAACATTACATTTTATTGTCATGATTTTTCTTTCACAAAACGATAGTGTTCTTCGTAATCGTTTGAAATAACTCTATATCAAACTCGGTATCGTTGAATTCCCTACCTAATTATGGAATGAAATACAGGATGTCCTATTTGATGATCAGAAGTTGGAATTGTTTCCGGTGAAACCGGAGGTGATGAAAGAGTATCAAATATTGCAAAATTCTCAATTTGAAGAATCCTACACCTCAGCGACATTTGTTCGGAACTCTGGAAACCATGGCTTGTTTAAATGAATACATTGACACCCATTGGAAATAATAAGTCGATATCACATACGACCAATGTTGAAAATACATCAGTAGGTGAATTCTCACCATACTTTCCTGTTACCATTTCGCTTTCCACATCACTAATTCACCTCCGAAAGTAATGGTTTATAGAACATCGAGAGAATTCCTTGGTATACCTCCTCATAACATTTTTCATTCAAATTTCGGGATCTATGATCTATATCACATTTCATGTTTGAGTTCTGACGTACCTATATCTTTAGAAACTTCATGAAAATCTGGATTCAAAATCATATCAGACATAGGGTTTGCATACAGTGCGTCCGCTAAAATCAATGCTCTCGTAAAAAAGTGGATACATTCAATTTTAGTCTCATTTCTAGTTCAAGTATCGAAATAGTATCAGACAGATCTACATTCATTTATAGGAAAAATTTGGAAAGGATTATAAGAGCACCTTGGATGAACAAAGACGCTTTTCGATTTTCCAAGAAAACTTGAAAATAATCGAAGCACACAACGAAGACTATCGCAACGGAAAAAGCACGTACTACATGGGAGTGAATCAATTTGCTGATATGACTCAAGAAGAGTTCATCAATCGACTTGGCCCTGCCAGAAATATGGATATTTCCGGACATTCCAGAATCATGGATATCTCCACTGACGACGGTAATATTCCAGAATCTATTGACTGGAGAGAAATTGGAGCTGTAACGCCAGTAGCCAATCAAGGAGAATGTGGATCATGTTATATTTATGGAGCTGTAAGTTCATTCATCCACTATTCAATATGCATCTACATATATGTCGGCGTCAATTAGTGAAATAATTTCATTTTTTGACGCCGACATATATACAGGGTGGGTCAACGAAAAATTATAATGTGGAAAAACGTTTTCCCTTTTATCACTCTTGATGGTTATTTCTGGAGAATATCCCGAAAAATACTGTACATACAGTGTGTCCCACTTACCATGCTCACCATGGGTATCTTTTTTAACGGTGAGAGATACGAAGTCGGTTAAATGACACCAAAAGTGGAGTTTGTCAAGGCCAACTATAATGTGAAAAAATATTTTGATAAAATCTATTCGTTTTTGTTTTATACGCAAAAAACAGATTTTGATCATTTTCATGTCTCCTCCGTAACTTCTTTATTTATGAAAATATTCAAATAGGAATTTCACATTCTCATGTCAGTTTTTCGAAGTGATTTCGAAAAGAATATGAAATTTATACCAACTCTTCTAGAATTTGAGATATCAGCACCAACTTTAGTTTTTCAAATGTAGGTCATAGCTCACTATGACTTAGTTACAAATAACTTTTTTTCCTCTTACAGATGATATGTCGCAGTAATAGTTTTGTGTTGATAACAACGGAGTTATCGTCATTTATACAAAAACAAAAAATTATTCGGAAGCCGCCATCTTGAATTTATGAATTTTAACAAACAAATCATGATCTCCGACCTCAAAAACTCCCACATACCAATTTTGAATGGAGTCGGACCAAATCTTGTCCGCCATCTTGGAGCAGCCATTTTTTTCAATTTCAACAAAAATTCCATAATGTATTGTCACCGAAATCATGAACACCTGCCAAATTCCAAGTAAATCGGAGTTATGGAATTTTTGTTGAAATAAAAAAAATGGCTGCTCCAAAATGGCGGTATCCCCCTCCAAATGAAAATCGACGTGTTACTTTGTTCTTTGTAAAGTCATTTCCTTGAGAGTTGTCAAGGGTGAATAGTCATCATAAGTAGACCACCTCTGTTGTATTTTATATTGAGTTCACAACCACAGTCTCTAAAACTTCACTTCAGAACAAAATTGGTCAGGATTTTGTGTCGAAAATCTTTGAAACCATTAGACTTATGTTCTGTTTGGTTGCAGTTAGGCAGTATTGAAAGCCAACATTTCCTGAAATCAGGAAAGTTGATCAATCTGAGTGTACAACAGATTCTTGACTGTGATGAATATAACAACGGATGTATCGGAGGTTGGCCAGCTAGCGTTTATAAACAGATAAGAGAAAACGGAGCTGTCCTCTCAGAAGATTACCAGAGCTATCAAGAAAATGTAGGACAATGTCAAGCCAATGGTACATTATTCAAAGGAATAGGATACTTGAGTGTCCCTAGAAATGAGAATGCCTTGAAAACTGCAGTTGGTAAGTCAAATCACCCCCGAAAATATCTCAATCCACAAAATGATTTCTTTCATCAACAACTATCCATTGCTCACTCGCAAATTCGCTTGTCAAACAAAAGGGTCACTTTTGATTCTAATAAAACAATCTACTATTGTTTTACTAGGCAGACAAGTACAAGATTTATTTTTCTCCCAATTCGATTTCACGCAAAGTCCACATAATCCATTACATCTTGTTCATCCAAAGTCATTGTCAATTTTGATTACCAGTTTGATTCAAATTACTTGGAACGTTGCAGAGCAACAAACTTTTTCTGCCTGGGCAATAAAGGTACAGCTTTTCTGTCTGTTAAGTGTCATTAAACAGCCACTTGTAATCCCAGCGAGCACAAACATCCCTGGGATGTTTTGGGATGTTTTGAAAATGTTGGCATGAGGATGTATTTTTGAGACGTTATATGACTTCCCAAAGAGGTCTTCGTAGGATATTTAAGTATTGTTTTTGTTCTTCTGTGGCATTTCTTTGTGTGCCTACTGAGAGGTATCCCTGGGATGTTTTGGGATCTTTTAAAAATATTGGCAAGCGGATGTTTTTTTGAGACGTAATATAACTTCCCAAAGAGGTCTTTGAAGGATATTGAAATTATTTTTTTTGTTCCTCTGAGCCATTTCTTTGTTTGCCCCACCACAATTTCTCATGCTCACGTCACAATACGATGAATTCCAATGTTGTTCTTGTTCGCATTCGCGAATAATAATACCAACGACCTCCATAATTCGTAATAGTATCCCAAACAGCAGCAGAATATACTTTACGAATAATATTCTGACAACGTGTTCTGTTCTGCTCAGAATGATCATAGAATAATATGTTCATCCTGGCAATAAATATTCCATGAACATTCAATTCGACATACAGAATCGTATCAAAATATGATATGGATGTTATTCTTGTATCAATATTTATAATGTTTCTTCTGACTCACCCTTATTCTCAGCCTCAATGCTAATAATTATTATCTTACTAAGTGCATGTTAACATCTTTCTATTCATACCATTCATCAATACGGTTCCCATGGCTCAGTGGACAAGGTGCTAGGATTGTAATAAATTCAATCTCTATAGAGTAGGAATCCCCAACGGGAAAGAGCTTTTTCTTAATTTCATTATTTTCTTCTTAAATATATATCCACCAGGAATGTTTTATTTGCAGCGAATGAATGCGCGCAAAACGCTTGGGAAAGGTTATGTTATGTCCATAAAAAGTCTATAAAAAAAAACAGGGAAAATGTATTTTTGTGACATCCCAAGGATATCTCTATAAACGCCGCCTGCGGCGGACATTGGCTGTTCTATGAAAGTTCTATTCCTGTATGAACAGAACATCGCAGTGGAGGTTCTATGTCTCAACATCTCGTACTTTTAACATCTCTGAGATGTATTTGTGCTCGCTGGGATGTCATTTGGAGAAAAAATCCCAAATAATCTAGCGAAAGGAATTAATCAGTTGTACTATTTTTCAGCGACTTATGGTCCAGTTTCGGTAGAGATAGACGCTTCCTACTTGAACAAGTACTCCGGCGGAGTGTACTTTAACGCCTCGTGCAATGCGAACATGGCCAACCACGTGTTACTGGTGGTGGGTTATGGAACAGAGAACGGGCAAGACTATTGGTTGGCGAGAAACTCCTGGGGTACGACTTTTGGCATAGAAGGTTACGTCAAGATGGCCAGGAATAGAAACAATAACTGTGCTATAGCCAACGCACCAACTCTTCCTATTTTGTAATTGATAGTGGAATAACGGTCAAGGATGGGAAGATTGGGAAGTTCCACTAATGAAATAACAATAATCATGGAATAACATCAAAATATTAATAATCTAACTATAGGTTATTGTCTTATTAGTCCAGTCATTTCATAATTGATACCAATACACGTTTCTGATTGCGAATGTAAAAACTTCACAAATGATAAGATTTCCACATAATACGTAACCGTGAAAAGTGCACTAACTGCGCAGTAAATGTCTGTAATTGTTCACATGTTCCTCCTAATCCTAAATCACTATACTCTTTCATAACTATATTATTTTTTTTTCATTTTTACTTATTCCACCAGTGGTTTTAGAAGGTCTTGAAATCTGATTAGTCATTGAAGAAGTTCATGGATAAGTCCGAAACGGGTGTTCATTGAATAAATTAGTCCTTCTTAGCTCTATCCAAGGATGAAATGAAATACAGGGCGTTCCATTTGAAAATTTCGAGACATGATCGGTTTGCAAAATACGTCATAACTTCTGGTTATTTCAAATTTTTTAAATATTAACAGAATATCCATATAACATATAGAATTTGTTCATTCATGATGAAAACTGTGCATCAGAAACTGGATTCTCAACTTTTCTATAAGACTTTGAAATTTGGCTATTTAGTGGAGGAGATTATGGAGAAAGTCCGAAACGGGTTATCCAGTTGAACTTATCTTTCTAAGATCTACCCAAGGACGAAATGGAATTCAGAGTATTCCGTTTGTAAAAATGTATGTTTGGTATGTCGAAGGCATATAGACATTATACCTAAAAAAATCTATATGACTATGAAAAACTCCGATTCTCTCACTTTTTTTTGTATCCATTCAACAATGAGATTCTTAGCTATTGAGTAAAAAAACAATCGGCCTGTACGTACGATAATGATCGTACAGGTGTGATCCATTATTTGACATTCAGTGTACATCCAAAAACGTAAATGAGGTTCTCGATTGATCCCGTGATGATTATCCAATGAATGTGAAATTTTTGTACATATATATAGGTAGGTACGTATAATTAGTAATGTTTGGAATATTGGTCGATTATTGTACATTAAATGTACATCCACGAAAGTTCTGTAATGAATGTTCCATTATACCCTCTTCTTTCAATTCGTAATTCGTACTTGTTTGTCCAAAGGGTGCACAAAGATTGTACAGATACTTAAAACCCAACAACTTTTATATTTGAAGTTTTCTCCATTTCGTATAGTTGAAGCTGTAGGTTGGGATCAAAATATGAAGAGGCATCCTGTACAGGTGAGACCCCCGACTTTAAAGTCGGTATTCCGAGAATAAAGTCGTGATTCAAAAAAAAAGTATATAGGTGGCCCTTCAGCACCTTCGTAGATAATAGTAGATTGTTTTATTAGGATCAAAAGTGACACTTTGTTTGACAAGTGAATTATGCATTTGCGAGGCGGAGCGTTTAGCGAAGCCAAGCGAAAGCAAAATTTGCGAGTCGAACAAAGTCACTTTTGATCCGAATGAAACATGTTATTTTTTCTGCAACCGAAACAATTAACTCAAATAAATATGTGAAGTTACCACCAATGCCGTGCCATATGTATATGCAATGCAACAAATATTGACAAATAATCCGTGTAGTGAGAACATTCTACCTGCATCAACAGAAGGTTCATTCAATTTTCAAGGATGTTCCAATCGTAGTTTCAATATAAATACAATCACAGAGTGACATATTTGCGTATGGACCAGGTGCTCTAATGGCAAATACCGCGCCAGTGCCAGCTATAGGAACAAGACGTGGAAAATGTTAGGTTAGTGAGCATATCAACAATAATAATAGCGATTATTCACTCCTCTCCATAATACAATGTTTTTCACTTGATAATCAAATGATGGTAAACAATATCGTTGTTCGAGAAAAAAAAACTATTGCTTGCCGTGATTATTCAAAAACAAGTTATCCATTTCGAGAATAACGAATGAAATACAGATCCAGCAAGCATTTGAATCTTGAAGGCTTCCCTGATCAACACAAAAATACTTAACTGATGAGATGTTTATAATTCCAATACTTAACTATACTAAGGTGAATTTATATCTCCAGCATGGGTATGAAATGCCAAATCTGCCGAAATCGGAAACAAATCAGGTATGCGTCTCAACCCAAATAACCAACCGTAATAATGTTGTTTATTCTTGATGATTTCCAGTACTTCCTTTTTAGTTTCTAGGAGCTAAAGTTCAACTTCAGCTCCTAGGAACTAAAGTTCAACTTCAGCTCCTAGGAACTAAATATGTTGCTGAGCAACATACCTATTTTTGTGTCAGTAATAGAAACGTCAATTTAAGAGCTAATTTTGGTATCAAAATGGACGACTTTTGTGTCGGTTGCAGAAAAAAGTATTATAGCACAGTCTTCTTTATTCAACAAAATTTGGTGAAATTATTCTTTTATCAAATTGTTACATAAAAGGCATTAGTAGCGATACCACACATGTTAACATTTCGTGCAATCCTCGCATAACCTGATTCACCCCAGCTGTAACCAAAAGGAAACTGAACGATCCAAAATTCTTGGCCGTCTTCTGTCTTGTCATAGCCCACTATCAACCCCGATTGTGAGATATTTGAGGTTACGGTTCGCGAGCAATCAGGGTTGTTCAGCACCCCACCGGTGTAGAGGGGTAGGTCACGACCATCTATGGAAACTGCGATTGGTCCCACATATGCTGAAATTCAAAAATGCATTGAAGAAAGTGCGGGGGGCATTATTATTACAAATAAAATTGACCTGTCTTCTCGATTTTTCATATTATTTACTGAAAGGAAGATATTGGGGTTGGGAAGTTTCTTCTATCTTCTACTTCTCTTTATTTTTATCAATGCTGAACATATTGGTAAGTTATATTTTTACATCATAAGACATCATATTATTTTATTCGATTTGAGAGATGATGTCAACTATCAATTCCAGAGGATTTTCATTTTTTATGCTCTCTTTTTGAATTTTCAACAGATATAATTCAATGTTCGACGTGGCAAATACCCAGGAAAGTGTTTGTTTTCTGTTGAATATTCAGAATGATATTATCTTTACATGAAGGAGAATGCAAATTCTCTACTTTACAAGAATTTTTCTTCAAATTCTCATCGTGTGTGTTAAATTGATGTCATTCATTTTCGTCGTGACATATAGCCAGGAAAGTAGTTGTTATCTGTTGAATAAATCCAAAAATATTTGGTATTTGCATCACATCATCTTCAATTTCCTGATTTTGACGAAGGAATCATAATCTACGACCCCGAAAGCCCTGATAGAATAGGAGTATAATTACAAAATCCACCATATTGGATCCGCCATCTAGAATATCCTAATTTACACAAATTCTAAAACAAATCATCCTATCCCGGACTAGGAGGAATCTAAAAATCAATAATCTTAAAAATTCTGGTTCCCACGAAAAGGGATATCCTGTAATGTTCATAGAACATCGTGAGAGCCAAGGGAAATAAAGTAGGAATTGGTGTTCTTCTTGGATTTCTGGAGGTTATATGCCTCGGGGAACACCTCCCTTGGCAATGTGTTCCAGAGCCTCGATGTGCGTTGGATGAACGAGACCTTGTAAAGAAATGTTCTGCAGGTCTCCAAAGTGACCACGAAGGGGTGCGAAGCCTCAACTCGACGGGTTAATCTCGCGGGGACTGCCAAGGGAGGAACAATTGTTGATATTTGAGAAGAGCATCGTCCATGAAAATATCTATGAAATAGACCCAGAGCGCCAACTTTTTCTACGGTGTACCAGAGAAGTGAGTGGGTTTGTGAGCGAGGCATCACCCACGAGACGAATTGTCCGTTTTTGGACAGAATCCAACAGTTTCAGGGTAGGTTTGGGTGCTGCACTCTAAATATGGAAACAATATTCCAGGACAGGTCGGATCTGTGCCTTACAGATCATAAGCAGCTAACTGGAAGTGAAATAGCTCCTGGCCCGAAACAGAAAAGTTTTTGGGATGCACTTTTAGCAATTGATCTCACGTGATTTTCCCAAGAAATATTATTGCTTATAGTAATACCAAGCATCGAAGTGGATGTCTTCAAAGGTATGGTTACTCCTGACAAGCTTATGTTGGGCACAGTGAGATCGGCTTTTCTAAAGAAAAGGCATGCTATACAGTCTGTCCAAGATAAGGTTGCACAGCATGGGGATCTCCGAAACGGTAGGAGATACGAAGTCGGTTAAATGGGGAAAAAGTTGCGCATTCGGAGGCTCATACCAACAGCCTTCGAAGATTCTCAAATTTTTTTTTAGTTTTTCAGTTATATCGAAAAAAGTTAATTTTTGAAATCTCTATTTAATTTTTTTTCTCCGTTATTATTAGAGATACAGGAAAACTGAGAATACTTTTTCATAGCAACTTTTGATGACGTTTAACGTGGTGATACCGATTTTTCTATGCGACGTTTCGTATTCGTAGAACCATCATCAACTTTTGTTTTTTGAATACGGCCCTGATAATTCTTTCACAGATTCTGAAAGTTGTTTTCATTCTAAATTCAACCATGTATTATACAAGGTGGTTTGAATGTGTTTCGAACTATTTTTAGCCATCATCAATGTTTTTTTCGAAATTCCAAAGGAAAAATGCCATCAGTCTCACTTATTTCTGATTATTCAGTGATGGACTAGTTATTCAATACTGAGAAGTGAAAACAAAATCCACTAAATTATTCAATGCAGCGCTTCGAATTGTTTATGAATTGTATTCATATTTTGATCCAAAGGAGCTTGTCATAATTAAATTTTTCGAACTAATTATTCCTATAAGTCTATCAATCGGAACTAGTTGATGAGGTATCAGTTTGTTGGCTAATTTTCCTTCAAAATAAGTGGAACTGATGGCATTTTTCCTCTGGAATTTCGAAAAAAACATTGATGATGGCTAAAAATAGTTCGAAACATATTCAAACCACCTTGTATAATACATGGTTGAATTCAGAATAAAAAAAGCTTTCAGAATCTGTGAAAGAATTATCAGGGCCGTATTTAAAAAACAAAAGTTGATGATGGTTCTACGGATGCGAAACGTCGCATAGAAAAATCGGTATCACCACGTTAAACGTTATCAAAAGTTGCTTCAAGAAAGTATTTTCAGTTTTCCTGTATCTCTAATAATAACGGAGAAAAAAAATTAAATAGAGATTCCAAAAATTCACTTTTTTCTATATAAAAAAAATTTTGAAAATTTTCGAAGGCTGTTGGCATGAGCCTCCGAATGCGCAACTTTTTCCCCATTTAACCGACTTCGTATCTCCTACCGTTTCCGAGATCCCCATGCTGTGCAACCTTATCTTGGACAGACTGTATAGTGTTTTCTTGAGTTATAAATGCTGTATAACTAACAGGATTTCTGCACGCAATTGCAGATGGCCGACGTGTTAGCACTAAAATGAGTGCGGAAAAGTGGACTTTTCCGCACGCTAGTAAAAAAAAAGTTTTTCCTCCAAAGATGTTTCGTGAAAAATTCAACGCAATGCTCACCGACTGCTTTGGTCATCTCTTCCTCAGACTCACTGATCATCCCATAGCCTAATTGGCCCTTTCCTATCATCTCTCCTGTTGCACCCCTACATTGCCCCTCTTTTCCCTTGTAGGGGTAGCTATATGCGGGGGGTACTCCGTTGGAAGCGATCCAGTCGAGGGTGTTTACCACCCCTCCACCATTGCAGCCGTTGTTGTTGCCAAATGAACAGTCAATCAGGTACTGGACGCTCAAGGGATCAGAATTTTTTTCAGTTATGTATCTTTGGGCCTGTATAGCACCAACCTGAGAAAAAAACAATGGTTTCATGAAGATAATCATACAACAAACGATTACCTTTTGTTGATCTGTAGTGTGCTTATGCAAAATTTTGAGATCTATCATTCGGTAATAGCTTGTAATAGTAAGTGAACAAGCTTCAATAAAAAACATGTTTAAAGAAAAACTTTTATGAAAATGCACTACACCGGTACAGGTGAAACTGAATGAAAGTTTTTGTAATTGTAGAAATATCGGACATTGAAAGCCCATCACATATACCAATTTTGAATATAATCTGACCAGAATCACAAAACTCATTTACTTTTTGACGTCGCCGTCTTGAATATCTCAATTTTGATGGAAGAATAATAATTGTTAAAACTTCACAAACGAATAAGACTTCCACAACATTCTCAAACACACGACACAGTAGCTTCTTCCGGTGATATACTGGTACGAAGAACTAAACTAACCTTGGCTTGCTTATATATCCGACTGACAAAACTCGTTCGCCATATTGAAGCCGCCATCTTGAATTTTCGAATTTTGACAGAAGAATGATAATTGTCGATCTCGAAACCACTCAGATATCAATTTTCAATAGAATCGGATCATAATGACAAAATTCAATCATGAAGCAGCCATTTTGTTTTTTTCTCTAGAAAAATATCATGATGCATTGTCACCAGAATTGTGTACACTTGCCAAATTTCAAATCACACAGACACACTGACACCGGGACAGGTGAAACTAAATAAAAGCTTGTCATAAAAAACTAGGTCCACTCGTCAGAAGTAATATCTTCTATGATACGGGGGAAATTTGAATGAAGTAATATCAATTTTATGGAATATTCCTACGTATTCGCGGAAAGGATGAACTCGAACTAACAATATTGATGGAGGAATTTCAATGATGAGACATTTCAAAGTGCATCTTGTCATAAGTATTCATTACTCACTCTGTTTTTTATAAATGATGTGATTGATACATAGCAATTCTTTGTAATTCGAGCGAGAACACAATATGATATACTATTTGTGACTTCCATGCATGTCAGGTCAGAGCTGACGACAACACTTTCTCTGCCTTGGTATTTACTGGAAAACTGAAGTTGCAGGTGCAGCCGCTGTCGTCGTTCCCATAGCTCAACGGCATACTTTTAACAGCTTCAAATCCAAAGTGTCCTTGACACAAGTCTTATTGACGTTTTTGTTCAGAATGCCCCCGTCCTGATGCTTCACAATACATTCTGGCTTGTTTAATTTTATTGGAAACGTTGCGATGTGAAGAGTATCTGATGGGTCATTTCTATTTTGGATTAGCTCATCTCTGGTTCGAAGTTCATCTGAATACACTAGACGTTTCATGGGTTCCCTAGAAGATAATAGTGGTCACGTGACCTCTGTGGCTAAAGAACTAGGCCACCTCTTGGATTCCACTGGTAAGCAGAGTTGTTATTTAATTGCTCATAACTCCCTAAGCATTGAGTTTTAGACAAAAGATGCACTATCACTCTGTATAGGTATACACTTTTACGCGAGATTTCGTATGTGACGCGAGTCCGGCAATTTTACTTTCATCCCAGAAAGTGCCTAACGGGCCTATAGAAGTCGTCACTTCAAGAATAAATAGCAAATAGAGACAATTAGCGAGAAGTTGAATAAAAAATATGTAGAACTTGATATGGGTATCTTTTTATTCAGGATATCCTGTAATGTTCAGAGAACATCGTGAGAACCAAGGGAAAAAGGTACGAATTGGTGTTCTTCTTGAATTCCTGTAGGTTAAATGCCTCGGCGAACACCTCCCTTGGCAATGTGTTCCAGAGCCTCGCTGTTCGTTGGATGAACGAGTCTTTGGAAAGAGATGTTCTGCAGGTCTCCGAAGTGACCACGAAGGGGTGCGAAGCCTCAACTCGACGGGTTAATCTCGCGGAGACTGCCAAGGAAGGAACAATTATTGATATTTCAGAAGAGCATCGTCCATGAAAATATCTATAAAATAGAGCCAGATGACCAACTTTTCTACGATGTTCCAGAGAAGTGAGTGAGTTTGTGAGTGAGGCATCACCCACGAGACGAATTGCCCTTTTTTGGACAGAATCCAACAGTTTCAGGGTATGTTTGGGTGCTGTACTCCAAATATGGGAACAGTATTCCAGGACATGTCGGATCTGTGCCTTATAGATTATAAGCAGCTGACTGGAAGTGGAATAGTTCCTGGCCCGAAACATAAACCAAGTTTTTGGGATGCACTTTTAGCAATTGATCTCATTCGATTTTCCCAAGAAAAGTTATGTTGGGTACAGTGAGATCGGCTTTTCAAGAGAAAAGGCATGCTTGTGTTCTGTTTGGATTAAAATCTGACAAGTTATTGGATCCACATTCGAGAATTGTTGCCAAGTCCATATTTATGTTGTAAACATTTCTTCCTCGTTCGCTTCTGATTTGCCTGGCTGGTATTGGAGCCCTGGAAGAGAGTCTAATCTGACCAATTTCTGAAATACTCACTGCAGCGAAATAGAAACTGGCATTGCACTCTGTTCCCTGATCGGAAACAGCTGGAACAGCACTATTATTTCTCCAGTCTATTCTTTCTGGCACATTTGATTCTTCATCAGAGAATTCTATTCTGGATAAGCTGATGATATCACGTTCGATGTTTTGTCTTGGGAACTCTTCTTGGTTTATGTCGGCAAATTTGGTGATTCCCAGCTTGAAGCTGACTTCTCCTTTGAGGAATTTTTTCTCGTTTTCCTTGATTTTCAGTAAATTTTTCTGGAAGATCTGAAAATGGTAGTATTCTTCTTCAGGGGTCTCATATTTTTTGTTGAAATCGATCTGAAACAGTTGGATACATAACCATCATTCAAATACCTAATAAAAAGTTTCGAAGGAATACATCCAGAACAGTAGAATATCATAATATCCGTCCTACCTTGAATTTTTTCCACACATTCTCATGGGAAGTTGAGATAATCGAAACCACCAAACTGAGGAACACAAAAATTAACTTCATTTTTCTTGCGAAGGATCGCCGTGAATAATATCAAAAATGCTATTGAGATATTATCATATCCCAATCTAATCAGTAATATACTGCGGATACATACATATTCCATTGTGGTATCAAAGATCAAGATCAAAAACTTATTACCAACTCATTCAAGTTGAAAGATAGTCATAAACATTCATTATAGTATCTACAGATGTAGAAAAAAATTGACAGCAGATAGGGTTCACAATGCGTTTCAAAGAAAGTCACTATAGAAGATAAAATATAGCAGCTAATTCTATGCATGACGGGGCGTAAAGTCCATTTATAGCCCGGATTTGCAATCGAAAAGTATAGTCTGGTGGGCGGTAATCAGGTGATCGGGCTAAAGTAATTTCACTGTTTTTCCAGTAATTCCTAGTAGACACCATTCAATCTTTCTTCGCCACTAGTATACAGTATAGCCAAATGAATTCAAATCCAATAATGAATTTTATATTGACAGTTAATTAATGTCTAAAAGCCCACTTTACGCCCTTGATACAGAAATAACTATCATACACGACTGGGCGTGAAGTTGCACTTTACCGTTCGCGGACTTCTTTATCACTCGGCGTATAGGTAACTCGTAATGAGCAATCCTGAATGATTCAGGAATGATAGCAAATAATAGTCTACTCCTATTTCGAAAAATTGACTGAGGTATGTACTTAAATTCCCCACTGCAACTATGGAAGTATTTCTGTCGTGCTTGAGAAGTAAAGATCGAGGAATATTGTACCGATCGAGCATAAAATGTATGTATATCGGGCGTCACATGATTTAAAACCTATTTCCCTCCCATGATACATAAATAACTATTTTGTGCTCGTTGACTATGGCTTGTAAAATGTTATTTCCAAAATGTTTAGGTACTATCTACCTACTCATTGATTTGTCATCCACTCAGGCGATTATACTTTCAAGTACATGGATTTGAGAATTAATGCTATCGTTTGCTTTTATTCATTGAGCTTGTTGTTCGGCCTAGGATATTATCTTGGTATTGCACAGAATCAAATACTCTTGAAGTGTTCAGAATACTAATTCTAGATTTAATAATACATCAATCATATTCTTTCTAGTGACAACTGATATAGCTGATGATATCTTGACTTGTGCACATGATATAAGCTGATCACTGCCTGGTTAACAACTAGTTTTCAGAGCGACATCATTATAGCTCAGAAATTAGTTTCAAACATGATGATTCCAATAACTCTGAAAGTATTTTTCGCTGCTCTACTAGTACTAGTAGAATCGACGCCAACAAAAGACTGCACCATTACAAGATTCTCGCAGGTACAAACAGTGATCAACTCCTGTACTGATATTTTGGTGTCGAATTTGACAGTACCAGCTGGCATAGTTTTGGAGCTCGATTTGCAAAATGGAACCACCATGACCTTCGAAGGTACTACTCTGTTCGAGCACACACCTTGGTCCGGTCCTTTGATAAGGGTGAAAGGGGTAGACGTTACCCTACAAGGAGCACCAGGTGAGCTTTCAACAAGAACAAACTGTAGTTTGAACTGTATTGACCTTCGATTTTGTTGTAGGTTCTGTTTTTGATGGTCAAGGACCCTTGTACTGGGACCATTTGGGAGATAAAGGTCCCAAGAAGCCGCAGTTCATGAAAGTGGAAGTTTTTGGGAAATCGGTTTTCAGGTGGATCAAATTGCTGAACTGCCCCCACCACTGCGTTTATATCGGCAAATCTGATGGTCTCACTATCGCCAATTGGACAATCGACAACTCAGCAGGAGATTTGGTTAGTTTCAAAATATAGGGTTACTGCATCTATTATAGATTTCCATCAAGTATCGGCCAAGTCAATTGAAAAAAAACTCATGATTCTCGTTTTGTAGCACAATTTCAGCGGTCACAACACCGACGGCTTCGACGTTTCGGCTGCTAACAATCTCATCATCGAGAACACAGCCGTGTTGAATCAAGACGACTGCATAGCCATCAGATACGGCTCCAACATCCTCGTGAGGAACATGTACTGTTCAGGAGGACACGGTCTCAGTCTGTCAGTTGGCTTCAACAAGACCTCCTATCCCGAGAACGTGGTGGAGAACGTCCTCATAGAGAACAGTCGGCTGGTCAGGTCTGCGAACGCCATCCACGTCAAGACTCATACTGATGGTTACCTGGGTCTCATCAGGAATGTCACTTACAGGAACATCGAAATGCGAGGTAGGTATCAAATTTTTTCTACTCACATACAGTGTTAATTGCCATTAAGGCGCAAAAAGCGCGATGTTCAACTTCGTTTTGCGCCATTGCGATTTTTCGGGAAAAATTGTGCTTTTTGTTACTTGTAAGAGGTGCTTTACAGTTCACGATTTCCCAAAAAATCAGCAGCAATTCTCATTGCACGCCTACGAACTTGTGCCATTTTGAACAACTGTCGCAAGGGAAATGCTCTACCACGTCCTGACCTACTTTTATTGGAGTTGTAGGAAAAAAATGTTGGATTTTCGGTATTTCCTACTATATTTATGCATTACTTGATGAAAATAGAATGTTACCTCGACTGTTCTCATTGTTTTCTACCAAACACAAATCTTGATAAGAAGTATATAACAGAGATTTTTTGTCAAGAAAAAAATATAGCAAGCTAGATAGTCATTTTGATTCAGTGTTATATAACCTGAATATTATTATTATTGCCAGAAATATAAATTGCAGCAATCAGTTGCATTAATCAAAAATTGGAAACTGTAAATGAAAAGACTATATCAAGTAAGTGTCTTGCGTAGCTAACGCTGTTGATAGATATATAACGCCTACGCTTATTATGAATAAATTTCACAAATCTCAGACTTGTGTCACAAAATTGTCCATGAGGCATCATTAAACTAGCTTCATGAGAAAATTTTTCGTAATGTTGCGCTTTTTCGTTAGATATTGCGCTAAATGATCGATTATTAAAAAAATTGAACACGTTACCATGACAGCACAATTTCTAAAACACATTACCATGGAAACAGAGATTTTTAAAAACTCCTTCAGTCGTTCGAGTCCTGTCCTGTCCGCCTTATCAATTGTAGGAACTGTCCACAGTGTCAACTGTCATTTCGTTTTTTCCCTACGTCGGCATCCACGCCTATTGACAAACGTCAAAAAATATAGTTCTAAAGTAGAAATATGCTCAGCTTGATATAAAAAATAGTGTTGAACTGGCTTAAAAGGTCTCCCCCTATCCTCCCTAGGTACGCACGATGTTCCACGAACATAATAGGAATTTCCTTTCGTGCGCTCCAAGAGAAAAAACAAAGTTATTGTTGAACAATCAGAAATAAATGATTTTGTGGATGTCTGCTCGATTGAGGACCATAAAGTTGAAATATAAATATCTCATATATTTTACATAACAATGCGCGAAGTAGGTACTTCGCGCACTGTTTTACTTCGCGCATTGTTTTGTGCAAGGAATCATGGTAACGTAGGAAACTGAAAAAAAGTGTCACTTCGCGATTTGTTATCAATGCGCGAACCTTGTCATTTTTTGACGTTTGTAGAAAATAGTTATTTTTGTATCTAGAGCGCGAAATGCTACTTTGGTGATCGAGATCAGATTTTTTTAACGAGGCGTAGCCGAGTTGAAAAAATAGTCGAGATGACCAAAGTATTTCGCGCTCGAGTTGCAAACAACATTTTTTCTACAAACGTCAAAAAATATAGTTCTAAAGTAAAAATATGCTCAGCTTGATATAAAAAATAGTGTTGAACTGTATTGAAAGGCCTCCCCCTATGGTGCCTAGGTACGTACGATGTTCCACGAACATAATAGGAATTTCCTTTCGTGCGCTCCAAGAGATAAAACAAAGTTATTGTTGAACATTCAGAAATAAATGATTTCGTGGATGTGTGCTCGATTGAGGACCATAAAGTTGAAATATAAATATCTCATGAATTTTACATTACAATGCGCGAAGTAGGTATACTTCGCGCACTGTTTTACTTCGCGCATTGTTTTGTGCAAGGTATCATGGTAACGTAGGAAACTGAAAAAAAGTGTCACTTCGCAATTTGTTACCAATGCCGAACCTTGTCATTTTTTGACGTTTGTAGAAAAATTATTGTTTTTTCAACATACCTCGTATACAACTGAAAAAAACTGATATCTGATAATTGCAGCTTCGACTTTTTTCATTTTAGGAGTCACTAACTATGGAATAAACGTTCAACAAGACTATCGTGATGGAGGCAGCACCGGGACTCCGAAAGCTAACGTTCTGATTGACGGTTTGAATATGATCAATATTACTGGTTCGGCTCATAAGGGATCAAAAGCTATGGGTGTTTACATCATTTGTGGAGACAATTCATGCACCAATTGGAATTGGGGTGGCATTTCTATCGATGGAGCTAGAAGAAATGATTCTTGTAATTTCTCGCCTACAGGGTATGAATGTCATGATGTATAAAAATATCAAGATTGTTCTATATAATTCTCAATAAACTCTCATAAATCATATAATATGTTTTCGCTAACCTTCGTATCTAGGAAATGTCAAGTATCATGATAAGATCTCAATAAATTGAATCATTATCAGTGATTACATCTCTTATGTGGTTCAAGACTGTATCAGCATCCGTTATGAATAAATTAAACGTGGAAAAACTTTAAAAAAATATATTTTATTTGAACGCTCTAAAAAGATGAAAATGAAATGTTCCTTTCAAATTTCAATTTATAACCTCCTTATACATATTTTATATTATCATAAAAGATTGTCGCGATGAACAATATTTAAAAAAATTTAAACAGCAGATTATACATTATCAAATAAGTACTAGTTTATATACACAAGTAGATCGCGTACAAGCAATTATGATTATATAAATTGTGTATACACTACACTGTTTTACCACAAACCAAACCGATTTTTTAACGCCTCGACACGTGTTTCGCTAACTATGTTAGCATCTTCAGGAGAAGATTAAAACTAAAACAATCGGTTTGGTTAGTGGTAAAACAGTGTGTAGTGTATTATTGTGCAAAAGGTTCCAGTCTTCGATATATAAATTGTGTATAATGAGGTTATAAGTTGACATTTGAAATTTAAAAGGAAAATTCCATTTCCTTATTCTCAGAGCGTTCAAATGAACCTTTTTTCAAGTTTTTGAACTTTTAATTTATTTTTTACTTTTTAGTTATCGCTCACTAGTTTTCTCACAGGCTTAAAAATTGAGTTTTTCAAACCTGCATTTTTATTCTCAGCGATCCGTTTCATCATAGGAAAGTACAAAAAACTTCAATAGTGCGCCATATTGGATTCAGTGTGATGTCAAAATTAATTGACGAACCCTAATAACACAATTATGTCCCATGGATATCCTTAGGACGTCCTGTCGGGACATTCAGGACGTCCATAGGACGTTCGAATTTGGTACCGTAGACGTCCATTGGACGTCTGTGGGAAGCACAAATGTCCCACTTGAGGACCAACTAGGGACGTCCTTGAGGGATATCCCTGGGACAATTATCGAGGACAACCTTTCAGTAACGCTGAGGGATATCAATTGGATGTCCATAGGATGTCCCAGGGACGTACGAATTATTCTTGAATTTGAATTTTTCTGAGTCCCTCTAGGACCAGATCTTGCATAACTGATGAGGACATCCAGTTGAGTTGATGGTCCGTAGAAGGTTCCCAATAGATCCTGAAAAAGTTTCCCAAGGATGTCCAATGGACTTACGTGAAGGACATTGATGGGGAGTATTTATAGCCTGCGAGCAATCATTCGTCGGCGAGAAGTAAGTTAACGTCCTCGCAGGGACGACATATTGAAAGTACCGACTGGGAAGTCCATAGGACGTTATTTCTAGGACATTGGATAAGTACAGTTCATGTACCAATTGGGACATACGAAGGATGTCCCTAAGGGACATTTCGATTTTTCTACGATCCTGGAAATATTAAGGGCATCTGTGCAGAGATATTTGAAGGAATGTACTATCACGGTTGTGTGGAAGGCGCATTATATTAGATATGAAGTCAAGCCAGAATATGTACTACTCGGGACATCCGATGGATGTCCCTAAAGGAATGTTTAAAATCATATCCCATCAGGGACATACCAAGGACGTCCTTGCATGGACATTCTAAAATATGTGCCACGTGGGACGTCTAAGGGATGCTATTTCTAGGACATTTGAAATGATGTACCAGCTGGGACATTCCGTGGACGTCCATACTCGGACATTGCATGAGATGTACGGGATGGGACGTCCCAAGGACACTTATTTTTGGTCCGGGACATTCGGACTTGTACCAAATTTGGACGTCCCTAGGACGTTGTGTGCTATTAGGGGAACGTTAGCTTTCAAGAAATATAGTTTTCTTTAATCTAAGACCCATCAATCCCAAAAACAACACCACAGCAGTCATAAGTGATATTTTCATAGCCCACAACACTACAAATCAGCCAAAATCGTAATAAGCCACCATTGATTTTTATCGAAGAATTTCAGACCAATTTTGCATGATCGGCATTTCAAAGGAACACCTGGCATAACTGGAGAAGTCCTTGGTGCCAAACACGTTTGTTAGTTGCATAACGCAACAACAGCACATGAAAATACGACATAAAGTTATTTGCTTTATTCATGAAAAAATAACGAGTGAAAAAATCAATAAACACAACTCGTTCAATTGATGATTATTAAAGAAGATCCTCCTGTTCCTTGAAACAAATTATGTTGCTTGGAAAAAACAACATGAGTGAATTTGTATTTCAATAATCGTCAATAGACTTGTTGCATTACATACGATCACATTTTTTCGAATCATTATGTATGTACACGATTTTTTTTTTAAATATTTTATGCACTTCAGGTATCTGAAGGGTTCCTTTATTCCATGTTTTCGGGGAAAAAAGTGGTACTTCAAATTCCTAGGGATTTCATGGTACTTCAAATCCCTAGGGATTTGAAGTGAATTTCTCTGCAATAAAATCTGAATTTAGGAATTTATTCTCAGAATGTCTATTGTAATTCGAATATACGCTCCACAATGACGAAGCTTTAAGCTTTTTTGACTTTGACCAATAAATACGCTAACAGTACCTTTTCTTCTGTAAATTTTTCTACGTTCCGTTCTTTGCACCATTTGATAAACTCAGATAACTGTTTTTTATATTGTTCTCCAGATTTTCTTGGTAATAATTTTTTCCATTATGTCCTAATATTATTTATTTATTTATGTTTTATTTAGTTACTTGTCATTACACACCAAGATTTCCAGTTGCCGATGACAATCATGATCTGGTAACAATCAGTCCCTTCGATGATATTTCAGAAACTAAGTAACTACTGTTTAGTAGCATTTGAATTTTTTAACGTTTCACCTATCCTGAAGTGCATAAAATAGTATATACACCTTGGGACTAAATGGGACAAAATGCCACATTATTTCCTAGGAGTATAATGTAATATGGTTCACACCAAAGGATAGCTAGCCTGTATAGCTATCCCGCACTGGTTCCCGTTGTCCTTAGCGATCTTTATGTATCCCCCTAGACCCCATTCGGGCCCGTACGAATTCTTGACCATCCAGAACTTCTGGCCGTCTGGCTCTTGTCCATAGCCGACTATCAGCACGGCGTGGTTCATTTGTTCGGGCCTGTTCCCGCAATCTGGATCGTTGTAGACCCCGCCCCCGTAGAACTGGAAGGTGTCCCTACCGGCGTCTATGGCTGCGGTCACTGGACCTAGGGTCGCCACCGCCATTTCTATTCCCCTTTCGTCCCCTACGCCTAAATCCACGAAACCTGAAAAGAAATTCATAAACTCTTTGAATCCAGGTTGGTGAGGTAATAGGGCGCGACAAGAAGTTAGGTTGAGTTGTATGTCAAGATGACTGGCCTACACAAACAAAAAATTGGAAGACAATACATGAGAATTTCACTCTGTTATCAGTTATTCACAAAGATGATAGAGATAGCCATCAACAGTGAGCTTATCAAATATCTGGAAAACTCAGGACAATATGGCTTTCGCCACAAGATCAATTGATGGAATTTCTTCGTCACCTATATATGGCAAGGTTCGTTAAAAAAACATAAGGAATTTCTAGATTTTGCGTTAGACATATCGAAAGCATTCAACCGTATTTGACACCAAGAACTCCTCCACAAACAATCATCATAAGACCTCAGCTATGCCATTTTTCATCAAGTTTTCTATCAGGTAGGTCGATCCAAGTGGTGGTGGACGAAGTATCGTCTGATACCATAGACATCGATTCCGGCATCCACAAGGATCAATTTTAGCACCAACATTGTTCCTACTCTATTTCAACAATTTGTTGGGAATAACCAATCGCTCTGTCCACAGCTTAGCAGATGACAGTACTCCACATACTGCGTTCTCTTCCAGAAACTAGATAGTCACGACTCTGTGAAATTCATCCCAAGTTGCGTTCTTCTAGACCACAACAATCGACTCAAGGGAATCAAAAAATTTTATGAGACCTCATTTGGATGAATAAAGAAAGTATGTCATCATGGCAAGGAGATTTTAAAATAAATAGTACAAAAACAACATTCAACACCTTTCCAGAAGACTGTCAATCATACTAGTGTTTTTTTGATTTTCAATATTCTTCCAGAGTTTGATAAAGATTGTATGCTTAGTTTCCTGGGAATCTGGAAAAATCAGAACCTTCACGCTTATCGTTTTTACCTGTACACGTAGCAACGACGTTTTCTCTTCTGAACCTGCACTCAGCATTGCGTTCTTCGAAGGGGTAGGATGGTTCAGAATCGACCCCATTGTTTTGTCTGACGTATTCGAAGGCTGGGTCCATCAAGCCACCAGAACAACCAGAGTTGCCATAAGGTTCTGTGCAATCGATCAGGTTTTGAGCGCTGATGTCCACCAAGCGTCCTGTTTTCCTGAAGTGGTGACCCTCCAATGCTCCAGCCTGGAAAAATACAACATATGATTATCATAAAGGGAAGTTTTAGAGACAAGGAATTGGTCTTTCGTGATAGTTTGTTATCTCTTGCAGCACATGGAATAGAATTCCTATAATGTTCAAAGAACAGGGGAGGATTTTTTTAAAGTTCTGGTTCTCACCAAAAGGATTATCTTGTAATGTTCAGAGAACATCGTGAGAACCAAGGAAAATAAGGTAGGAATTGTTGTTATCCTTAAATTTCTGAAGGTTATATGCCTCGGCGGGGAACACCTCCTTTTTCCTTTCAGGGTATGTTTGGGTGCTGCACTCCAAATATAACAGAAAACCAAGCTGTTGGGATGCACTGTTAGCAATTGATCTCACGAGATTTTTTCAAGAAAGGTTATTGCTGATAGAAATACCAAGCATCGAAATGGATGGCTTCAAAGGTATAATTACTCCTGACAATCATCAACGATTTGTTGGAAGCAACTGCATGTCCAGTACACAGCTTCACGGATGATAGTACCCTCCATACCGCCTTCTCTTCCAGAGCTCCGATACCATCAGCCAGGCAAATCAGAAACGAACGAGGGAGGAATGTTGACAACATTAATATGGACTTGGCAACAATTCTAGAATATCCAATAACTCGGTAGATTTCAATGCAAACAAAACACAAGCATACTTTTTCTATAGAAAAGCCGATCTCACTGTGTCCAACATGAGCTTGTCAGGAGTAACCATACCTTTGAATACATTCATTTTGATGCTTGGTATTACTATCAGCAATAACCTTTCTTAGGAAAATCACGTGAGATCAATTGCTGAAAGGGCATCCCAAAAATTAGGTTTTTTGTTTCGGGACAGGAGCTATTCCACTTCCAGTCAGCTGCTTATGATCTATAAGGCACAGATCCGACCTGTCCTGGAATACTGTTTCCATATTTGGAGTGCAGCACTCAAACATACACTGATACTGTTGGATTCTGACCAAAAAAGGGCAAGTCGTCTCGTGGGTGATGCCTCGCTGACGAACTCACTCACTTCTCTGGAACACCGTAGAAAAGTTGGAGATCTGGCTCTATTTTATAGATATTTTCATGGACGATGCTCTTCTGAAATATCAACAGTTGTTCCTCCCTTGGCAGTCCCCGCGAGATTGACCCGTCGAGTTGTGGCTTCGCACCCCTTCGTGATCACTTTGAGGACCTGCAGAACATCTCTTTCCAAAGACTCGTTCATCCAATGAATAGCGAGGCTCTGAAACACATTGCCAAGGGAGATGTTCCCCGAGGCATATAACCTCCAGAAATTCAGGAAGGACACCAATTCCTATCTTGTTTTCCTTGGTTCTCACGATGTTCTCTGAACATTACAGGATATCCCTTTACGTGGGAACCAGAACATAAAAAAAAAAACTATCGAGCATACATACCGCAGCGAAAGCCCAGCAAGCAGCGCACTTCCCCTGACTCTTGACGTCGCTGACAGCACCGACATCCCTCCAATCGACTGCGGTGGGATAAACGACGTTGGCGCTGGGAATAAACGCAGTCGCTTGGGGTATTACGCGTTGCTGCGTCTTCAGCGATCTGTTGAAGCCGTTCAGATCTGCGACGAACTCGTGCAGCAGCATGTCCGCGTAGGGGTTGATTTGCTGCGTGAAGCTGCGCTTCTTCTCGGCGTATTCTTGGTTGACTCTCTGGATTTTTGCGATGTTTTCGAAGAATATTTCACGGCGTAGTTGCTCCTCGACTGCGCTAGGGTACACTTTGTTGTATCTCGTCTGGGAAAAAAATATTAGGAATCAAAAAAATATGGGGACCACTAGAATTTTCTAACAAACGGTTCGTACATGGATGAAACGTTCCTCTCCTGTTCTGTGTCAGATGTTCGAAACTCATCAGAGTTTCCCAGGGAGTTTTCAAAGAAGTTTTTACAAGAATAGAGGAGTCTCTTGGGGGAAGAGAATCCTTATAATGCTCGTACTTAGGGAGGTGGGAGATAAGGTACTGGCAGTTTTGTTCGTACTCACGGAGGCTATCAGTTCTTCGAAATACCTACTTCCTTTTGTAAAGAATTCCAAGGTCTTGGTGTTCTATAAAAAACGAGTTTTGATAAAAAGATGTTAGTCTCTGGTAAAAGTCCAACATTTCTCAGAGTGGAATGTAGTTTTGATAACTAAATAAAACTCAAAATCATCTCCACGGCAGTTTACTGTGCGTGAACAAAAGTCACATCAGGGGGAACTTGTTTTTGGACATACATAATATGTCCATCATCAGCCTATAAGAAATTAGTCATGAAGGTGAAACTATCATCTGCAATACATTCAAAATGAAGAAAGTTACACATATAGAATCCGAACATTATTAAAATTATTTTGTTTTTTAAATTTGAAGGGGAAACAATTTCACAAAACTCCTGCATTATGGTTTATGGAGGATCAAACACGAGCCGGTCCCAAGATGTTTTTTTATCGCTTGGAGCGCACGAGAGGAAATCCCTATAATGTTCAAAGAACATCGTGCGTTCCTAGGAAGGATAAGGACAGGAGGTAGGTATTGGAATTTTTTTTGAACTTTTGGAGATTATAGGTTGTTGGAAATACTTCCACAGGCAATGAATTCCAGAGCCTAGCCGTTCTATGGATGGAGGAGTCTTGATAAACTGCTGTTCGACATCTTTCGAGGTTGACAACGAAAGGATGTGCTGACTGGGCTTGTCTAATTCGACATTACAATGTCGGGCATACTGACGAGTTCCGCCTTTCTAGAGAAAATGCAGGCAGATCTTCATTGACAGCATTGACCTGCCTGCGCCGTGAGTTCTTAGTTTCCTGGGAAGAAATGGGAATTCTGGAAAAGAACGCAGTATGGAGGGTACTATAATCTGCAAAGCTGTGGATGGGGCAAGTTGTTACTCCCAACAGATCATTGATATGAAGCAGGAATAATGTTGGTGCCAAAATTGATCCTTGTGGAACACCGGAATTGATGCCAATGGTATCAGACGATACACCGTCCACCACCACGTGAAGCGATCTGCCTGAAAGAAAACTCGATAAGAGATGGCACAGCTGAGGTGGTAAGCCGTATGTTGGACAAATTTGAAGGTTAACAACGCAAGGATGAGCTGACTGGTATTGCTAGTGATGGAATGATAGCAGATATTTCTGAAGAACATTTCACGTGGAATTATATCTATATAGAAGAGTGCAAGGTCGCCTACTTTTCTGGTGATGGTGATGATGTGGAAGAATTAGTTAGTGTGGCAGCATCCACCAGGTGTATAGAAACTATCATTTCCAATTTTGTCTTCTTATCTGTTGGAGCGCACGAAAAAGAATCCCTATAATATGTTCGAGGAACATCGTGCATACCTAGGAAGGATAGGGCGAGGAGGTATTGGGAATACTTTCTGTATGGGCAGGCACTGGTTTTTTTGTATCAATAACCTGTTTTTGAACCCTTTAGGTGATTGAAAATATCAATTCAGACAAGACAAATTATTTTCATCTGATATTTTACAACAACGAATTCAATATGACAAAGATCATACAACATGAATAAAAGCTGAAAAATATAACTTTCCGCAGGCACACTTATTCTTTTGGAAAAGAATTCCAATAAAGCTGTGCTCTTACATAGTATATTGTTTAACGAGCATGGAATGATAGTGATTTCCTAAGAGAATGAAGTTTGCAGCATGAGCCGTAGGCGAATGCTGCAATCATTTGAGTAGAAAGTTAGCATTACGTGCAAGTTATACACTATACACTATAATTGTTTTACGACTGTAATAGATAACAGCAGCCATTTCGATTTCTTCGTCTTGTAGCCATCTGATTTCCCATTTGTCAAGTAATGCTCATCTATTAGACAGAACTCTCATTGCTTGAAATTTGACATTCCATGGGCGATAAGTTTTTTCTTGAAATAATAACACAATGAAGTCATTGTGGGGTGGCGGAAATTTGATAGAAAGACAAATGATAGAAAAACATTTGAAAGAAGTCTTTTGATCGAAAATCAAAAAATAGAAAGAACTTTCAACCGAAAATACATTTGATCGAATATTTTATGATAAAAAATACATTTGATAGAAACATAAATGATAGAAAATACAATTGATAGAACAAATATTTGATAGAAAATACACTTGATAGAAACAGCATTTTATAGAAGATTCAACGGGGCTATACGCTCAAGTTAGGTCAGTTTGTTTGTGAAGATATGATCCTTCCTCATATATTTGAGAAGAAGGAGCTAGAAGTTTGTGGTATCAATAAATTCATATGAGCTTCGATTTCCATCTTTCTTCTCAAATATATGAAGAAGGATCATATCTGACCTAACTTGAGCGTAGCACCGTTGAACTTTCTATCAAATGCTGTTTCTATCAAGTGTACATTCTATCAAATATTTTTCCTATCAATTGTATTTTCTATCACTTATGTTTCTATCGAATGTATTTTCTATCATAAAACATTCGATCAAATGCATTTCTATCAAAAACAATTTCGATCAAAAGACTTCTATCAAATATTTTTCCATCATTTGTCTTTCGATCAAATTTCCGCCACCCGTCATTGTGATATTAGATACGGAAATTAAATTGTTGACATACAAAGTACCTCATTGATGTATCGAACACAGTAGAACAAGAGCAATCTTGTGTTATAGCCTTAGAAAAAATATGTGTCAAGGCAATCATTTCAAGGGGTTTGTATGGTTTGTATGTATAGTATGGAATTTTCATTCAATTGTATCAATTATTTTTATCGAGAAAGTTTTAGATTTTGTCCCCTCATCGTTTCTTTAAATATGAATATAAGTATTATTTCAATATTTGTGTAATAAGGACAAATCCGATGCCCTAGTATATCACTGCTTAAATATTTCACTATTAGAAAACCTAACTGAATAATTCGATCGAAAGTCACTTTTGTTTTTACCTGTATAATGATGAAGCCATCAAATTTACATAAAAACGAGAATTCAGACTAACACTCCAACACATGAATCTACGATTTGGTCAACCAGTATCAGGCAAAAACTATTCAAATAACAGGGCGATCAATTTCGCATTTTTTTGCAATTTTTTTTCTCCCGGTGAGATTTTAGAATGGGCTTATATCACAAAAAAAATTTATTTCATAATTCGATAGAACTCACCACTAGCTCACCACCGCAAACCGTTTCTTGCTGTGAGCTCCCTACGTTTTATAAAAAAATATTGAAATCCCTGTTTTTTCGGACCTCTGAAAACGAGGCGATGATGTGACGTCAAAACCCTAATACTGAAACAAGACTATTCCAGACAGAGATGAATGATACATGATTTCTGACAGAGTGAATTAGCGCGAGATCACAGTTGAAAGAATTAATATATCAGTTGCCTCAGTCTCCGTCGGGCGTTTGGTATTTTCTTTTAACTATGGCGAGATGAGGTATCTACGTCATAAGAGGGTCCGTTTTCAGAAGGTACTATTATTTATGTCAAAAAATGAAACATTCCAGTTGATTTTTCGATCGAATTATGTCGTCAATCATTATTTATGTATAAAAGGATCATTATAAACATGGTTTGAGTTAAAAGTTCTACTAAGGTGTACACGCCCATTGCCCTAGTGGAATTTTACCTTGAAATCGTTCCATTCGAACTGCAAAAACTCTTCTGCTGCCCTACCAGCCATTTTGGGCAAAAAGGGAATAGTAAGCACAGGCACAGCTGTCAAAAGCGGTCCTGTAACTACTGTCGCAGACGGTCCTGTAATGAATGAAGATGACCCTGACTGTTTCGAGACGCCAGTGCCATTGAAAGAGATCCGAAGGTTCGTGTCTACAGGGGAAGCGTCGAAAGTCTTCCTGGTGTTGGAAGAGCTTGAAAATCCCGGGAAATTGTAAAATTCCTGGGAAGGGAATGTTGATTGCCTAGTCTGTTGACGATTGTTTTTCACTCGGGTCGTTTTGATTTGGGATGATCCTAGTAGGAGCTGAGCATCTGAGTGAAGTAATACTGTCAGAGGCAGTAGAATTAGGGCCCACATCATTGGTCCTGAAATAAAACTTCATACTCAATATTTCTCTGGATGCATTGCTAACAATACAGGGTGTTTCACAGCTAAAGGGAAATATTTCAATGGTAGATAGGGGTAACCAAGGTGGTTCTGAAAATACCATATTTGATAGGTCTTAGAGTTTCCATAACGGAGATACAGGGCGATTTATCGATTTCGAATAATTATTCATTCGTCTATAAGTATTGAACTACCCAGTATATTTTTCTAAAATTTGGTATGGAGCTCAAACTTGGGACGTTGAATGCATTCACCTATCGATCGAAGTGAAAATCCAGGTTCGGCCTCAAGAAAAATTTACATTTATTCTGAATATTAAAATAACACACTGTATGTAATAATTGACAAAGTTCATCAAAGGAATCGTGAAGAGGAGGAAAACCTGAACTGGATTTGATGCTTTTTGTTTTCCTGCCACCAATTCTCATTGTAACAATCATGAACAGGAAGCTAAAAGTATGTCAATTTCAAGAGTATTAAAGTTATGAAACCACTTTCAATTATGATTATTTGATATATTCTTGTTAAATGATCTTTCGAAAGAACTTACTTAGTCTCACAGTCTTTATAACAGAGATACAGGGTGAATTATCACTCGTCCATGAGTATATTAAACTACCCATCGCAGTAATATTTTCTCAAATTTGGTATTGAGCTTACTTGGGACGATGGATTCATTGACCTATCAGGCAGAATGGAAATACAGGTTCAGCTTCAGGAAAAGTCTCATAGTCTTTATAACAGAGATACAGGGTGAATTATCGAATTATAATTCCGCCCAATAGGTAAATGAATCCATCGTCCCAAGTAAGCTACATACCATATTTGAGAAAATGTTACTGGGTAGTTTTATACTTATGGACGAGTGAATAATTATTCAAAACCGATAATTCACCCTGTATCTCCGTTATAGAAACTGTGAGACTTAGTAAGTTCTTTCGAGCAATTTTTTGACTAAAATATATCGAATAATCATAATTGACACTGGTTTCATAATTTCAATACTCTTCAAATTGACATACTATCAGCTTTTTGTTTATGATTGTTACGATGAGAATTGGTGGCATGAAAACAAAACGCATCAAATCCAGTTCAGTTTTTCCTCCTCTTCACGATTCCTTTGATGGACTCTGTCAATTATTACATACAGTGTGTTATTTTAATATTTCGAATAAACGTGAATTTTTCCTGAAGCCGAACCTGAATTTTCTCTTCGCCCGATAGGTGAATGAATTCAACGTCCCAAGTTTAAGCTCCATATCAAATTTTAGAAAAATATACTGGGTGGTTCAATACTTATAGACGAATGAATAAATATTCGAGATCGATAAATCGCCCTGTATCTCCGTTATGAAAACTCTGAGACCTATCAAATATGGTATTTTCAGAACCACCTTGGTGACCCCTATGTACCATTAAAATATTTCCCTTTACCTGTGAAACACCCTGTATAGTTGAAATTCTTGAGCTTTTGGCTTTCGATTTTATCAAAAATTCTTATCTTCTGCTTCTCAAAGTATTGAGGTGGAAAAACCTGAGATATCCTGTATAATTTGGTATGCGATCATCAATTAGTCACACATTGGGTTTCACGAATTTATTGATTGTCAATTATCATTTTTGGACCCAGGATTTCGAAAGTATTTCTTTTGTTATTCAAGTAGGTATACCTAATTGGTACTCAAATCACTCCAACTCCTATTAGTTAAATTATTTCTTATTGACATTTCATTTATCTGCTTTCAGATTGGATACATTTTGAGAAGTGTCTACCTACTAGATTATTCAAAAATTAGCATAATGATTATGCGGATGATTATTACTTGAACAACTTGTCGAAAATGTCTGAAATGTGCTCTTGAAGTGAGCATTTGTTGATAACTTTTTATTCTTGATGAATAATTCAATAATTCAATGTGGTTTCAGTAACGAAGGTTTCAATTCGTACCTTTCACTGTTTCATTGATAACGAGTGTTTAGATTTCGGTTTTATATGATCATTTTTGATTGATCTGATTATACGTGAAATTCCTTTATGAAATCATAAATAATCTAGTTGATTCGCCAGCTATCCTCAGTGATATTTAACTTCCAGCTTCTGCTTATATTACAAGAAAAAATCACATTTTTCTTTACGAACAATCTCAAACAATTTTTTTAACTCTCCAATGCAGAGATGCAAAATATCATACAACAGGCTGTCAAATTCTATTGATATTGATATTTTCTCTTGCTCACTTCCCAAATTGTCTTACATTTTGAAAATACATTTCTTTGCTTCACCAACTTGATTTTGATATACTACATGTTTTTCCTACTCAATCATTAATTACTTCTGTTATTGATGTTTCATCATCTTTGTAATTACTGTCTGTATGTTAATCGAGGAGGTGGTACATTCATTATTCCAAATTTGTTGGGATTTTCTCTCCTCGTTTCTATAAAATAAAAATATGAATATTATTTCAATATACGTGTAGTAAGGACAAATCATTGAAAACTGAAAAGCTTCAAGACATTATACGACTTCGCTATTGAAATAATCTCTTCTCATGTTGAAAACGGGAGCAGAACCGGTCCCGAAACGTCCAAAGATAAGTGAAAATTTGATATTTTTCTATATACCTTTATTTTCCCTTCTCCAAAAATTTTTTCAATACAAATTGTCACTGACAAGCTGGTGAATTTTTCTTTTAGGCTCTCTGATAGGAAAATTCTTTAAACGCAGTGACATTTTGGGGCAAATCATCTGATTTGTCCTTACTACACGTATATTGAAATAATATTCATATTTTTATTTTATAGAAACGAGGAGAGAAAATCCCAAAAAATTTTGAATAATCTTTGTAATTGATATTCGATTTGTTTTACCAATATATCTGTATGATGAGATGTAACACGGTATTCTGCTGATGGACTAACGATAGTCCGAAACAATTTTCTGCAATCAAACCAAAAGTCCATTTTTGTTCCAAAATTAGCTCTTGAAGTTGAAGTTTCTCTTACTGACACAATAAAATGATTAGAATGTATGTAGCTAGGCAACACCCTCAGCGTCTAGGAGCTAAAATTGAAGTTTAACTCCTATATAGGAACTAAAAACGTTTCATATGACAGCTGATATGTTGGCTGCTTTGACACTGACATACTCAAGTGACTCAAACTAGTGGTCACTTCACTTATATTTTATTAATTAGATATCAATTATATCGAATGCAGAATAAAAATCATGTTTCATTCGGATCAAAAGTGACTCTGTTTGACTCGCAAAATTTGCGTGCTCGGCTTCGTAGTCGCTCCGCCTTGCAAACACAAAAATCCCTTGTCAAACAAAGGGTCACATTTTATCCTAATAAAACAATGGTCAACTAGGCAGAAACACACAGGTTCGATGCCGCGGCTGATGCAGGGCCTACTCTAAGTGAGATATGCTGATGTCTCATAGCCAAGGCTATGAAGTCAGTCAAGGAAGGCATTGAATCTTTTTTTATGGCATGCGAAACATGTATTTTTTCTCCTAATTATTACTTAGAACGTTGCACATCAACATACCGAACTTTTTGCCTAGTCAGTAAAGATACACCTTTAATGCTCATTAAGTGCCATTAAAAAGCCACTTTCAATGTAATTTGGAGAAAATGGTTCTTTGTTTTACTAGGCAGAAAAGTACACGATTTAATGCCGCTTCTGGCGTTTCATAGCCTAGGCGTACCCGAGGCTAGGAAACCAGCCAAGGACAAGTGTCATTAAAAATCAATCAATGTCAATTGGAGAAAAAGTATTGTCATTATCTCAGTTGCTTTATATATTTGGGAATATTTCGACATTCCAGTTTTTGCGTAAATTTCCATTCAATCCAAATATAATAGAGCTCCTCTATTGTATGATTTTTACTATATATTCATTCCCTTGGAATTCTAATTTATGTTCCTTTCACACACGCTGAATATTGCATAATATTTTTTTGAATAGGGATTTTTAATTATGGATTCATTTTCTCAACAGAAGATGATTAATTGCTTTGTGGCAGAATTCGAATTATTGTTAATAGCCCTGTGTAAAATATAATGTTCCATAAACATTTTGGTACGTTCGGCAAACAAGGTTTTCAGGCCAAATAAGTAATTTCTAATGAATAACTGAATAAATAACAGAAGGATGAATTTGTAATGAAACTAAGAAGATAATTTATTACCATCAGGAAATGATAATAAAATTCCATAAGTTTATTCAGAAGAAGTTTTGAATTCCGATGAAGCTGAACAGAACAATTTTACTCAAGTTCGTCTTCCGATACTTTTTTAAATTCAAAAAGTATAATACTTAAAGGTCACGATTATTTTTGCTTCAGTTTTATTCGCTTGAATCCACCATAGAATCGTTTAATTATTTTCTACTATCAAACATTACTTAGAAAATCTTGACCAAGCGAAAAATAATTCTGAGAAACAAAATTCTCATTTCTTCTTCTTTGGTTTCCTTGGCGAACTAATGAATATCAATATGAAAATCAATACATCATATCAATATAAAATACATAGTAAGTATATCCTGTGTACCTACCTATAGGTCAGGTTAATTATATATATATATAATAAATTAATCATCCATACATATTATTTTTCGAAACCACTCACCTACTGGCAGTCTCTAAGAAATGGCAGTCACTGATTCGAGAGATAGTTAACCACTGAATGAGATGGCAAAGATCAAGACTTCATAATTTGTGTATTTTCGTTGTTGCTTCATTAGAAAGGGAGCTGTCCTCAAAAAATGAATGTTAATTATCACTATTCAAGATACTCCTTCAAAGGACTAATATTCGTAATTATTGTTCATTTTACTCGATTTTTTGGGATTGTCCCTCCTCATTTCTATAAAATAAAAATATGCGTATTATTTCAATATATTTGTAGTGGGACAAATCAGATTATTTGCCCCAAAATGTCACTGCGTTTAACAAATTTTTTTAT